ATAAATTCGAAAAAATTTATTCTGATTTTCGACAAATAAAAGTGGGGCGTTACAGATTGGCTATCATATTTTCATGCAGATATTCGATGCCATGACCGGGAGATTACTCTTTATCTTTCGGGAGATGATTCTATTACTTTCTTTGGCACCAAGACTCGTTTCTTGCCTCATGTTATTTCTATGGCGAAAGCCACCAAGATGTTGCGACGAGATGACTGTTAGGTTTATCTTGTAAGCCTTGTCGATGATTCACCAAAGGCACGAACACCTCACGACGTTTTTGTTGTTCGTGAGTTTGTGGACGTGTTTCCGGACAAACTTCCAGGAGGACCACCTAACCGGCAGGTAGAGTTCTCTATCGAACTTATTCCAGGAGCCAGCCCAGTTTCCAAAGCCCCTTACAGAATGGCACCAAAAGAGTTGCAAGAGCTTAAGGCGCAAATTAAAGAATTATTGCGACTCGGTTTCATTCGACCGAGCGTTTCACCATGGGGAGCACCCGTTCTTTTTGTTATGAAGAAGGACGGTTCTATGCGCATGTGTATCGACTACCGGGATCTTAACTGGTTGACGATCAGAATAAATATCCGCTTCCCAGGACTGACGATTTATTTGATCAGCTGAGGGGAGCTTGTGTTTTCTCCAAGATTGATTTACGATCAGGCTACCATCAGCTGAAAATCAAGGAGTGAGACATTGCTAAGACCGCTTTCCGTACTCGTTACGGTCATTATGAGTTCGTTGTCATGCCATTTGGTCTCAGTAACGCTCCAGCGGTTTTCATGGACCTGATGAACCGTATTTTCCATCCTTACCTCGATCATTTTTTTATTGTTTTCATTGATGATATTCTTATCTACTCCAAGAGACAGAAGGGACACGAGGAGCATCTTAGGGTTGTCCTTGAAACCCTTAGACGAGAAAAGTTATATGCTAAATTCTCCAAATGCGAATTCTGGCTCCAGCGAGTAGCCTTTCTTGGCCATGTTATCACTCAGGCAGGTATCGAGGTGGATCCATCTAAAGTTGCCGCTGTTCAGAACTGGTCGACACCGAAGAGTCCGTCCGAGGTTCGCAGTTTTCTCGGTTTGGCTGGCTGTTACCGCAGATTCATTGAGGGCTTTTCTAAGATTTCCCTCCCTCTATCCCAGCTGACGAGGAAGTCTGTGAAGTTCGAGTGGACTGATCGATGTGAATCGAGCTTCCAAGAGCCAAGAAGAGGCTAACCACCGCACCGGTGTTGACTATTCCCGATCCTTCTCGGAGTTTCACCATTTTTCAGTGATGCTTCAAGACAGGGTTTGGGATGCGTACTTATGCAGGATGGCCAGGTCGTAGCTTACGCTTCACGCCAGCTAAAGCCACATGAACAGAACAATCCAATGCACGACTTGGAGTTAGCCGCAGTTGTTCATGCCCTTAAGATTTGGCGACATTATTTATACGGCCGTCGATGCGAGATTTTCACAGACCACAAGAGCTTACAATATGTTTTCACTCAGAAGGAGCTCAACATGAGACAGCGTCGTTGGCTAGAGCTCGTCAAGGATTATGATTGCACGATCCAGTACCATCCGAGGAAGGCGAACGTCGTTTCTGATGCCCTAAGCCGCAAGGTAAGGGGTGACTTGACGTACGTTGTTACTCAGCAGAGCCGTCTGATTCAGGAATTCGCATGGATGCAGATTCAGGTGGTGGATGCACTTCCTACGGCCATTACAGGGAGTACCAGTTCCATGCAAATTCAGCCGACGCTGAGGGAAAGGATCCGGCGGGAGCAGGCTTCTGACGAATTTTTTCGTGCTATTGATGCCAAAGTCCGTGCCGGAGGCGTCGAGGGTTTTCACCGAGGCACTGATGGGGCCTTGGATTTTCGCGGCAGGATTGTGGTGCCAAAAGTCGAAGCGTTGAGGAAGGAGATATTGACTGAGGCTCATACGGCACCATATGTAGCCCATCTGGGAAGCACGAAGATGTACCATGACCTGAAAGGGTCGTTCTGGTGGTGAGGAATGAAAAAGGAAGTAGCCGACTTTGTGAGGAGATGTTTAACCTGTCAGCAAGTCAAAGCCGAACACAAAAGCCCCATAGGCCTCCTGCAACCACTACCGATTCTGAAGTGAAAGTGGAAGGAAGTTACGATGGATTTTCTCACAGGGTTACCGAGGTCGTCTGAACATCACGATGCTATTTGGGTCGTGGTCGAGAGATTGACTAAGGTTGCTCATTTCTTACCAGTATCGATGAAGATGTCTTTGGACAAGTTGGCTGAGATTCATACCCGTGGGATCATTCGACTCGACGGAGTGCCTGTTACTATCATGTCAGACAGAGATCCTAAATTCACTAGTAGATTATGGCAGAGTTTGCACGAGGTGATGGACACGAGACTAGAGTTCAGTTCAGCCTACCATCCGGAGACTGATGGACAATCCGAGAGGACCATTCAGACATTGGAGAATATGTTACGAGCTTTGATTGTTGACATGGGTGCTAAGTGGGAGTCGTTATTGCCCTACGTTGAGTTCGCGTACAACAACAGTTATCATTCTTCTATTCAGATGGCTCCTTATGAGGCACTTTACAGTCGTAAGTGTCGTTCCCCTCTTTATTGGGACGACGTCGGTGAGCGTCGAGTACTCGGTCCGAAAAAGATCGAGGAAACTGCAGAGCAGGTCGAGTTGATTCGGCAGAGACTCAAGACAGCTCAGAGTCGGCAGAAATCATCAGCTGATCAGCATCGACGAGATATCCAGTTCGAGGTTGGTGAGCCAGCTTTTCTCAGAGTTAAACCATTTCGCGAAGTCATTCGATTCGGGAAGAGAGGGAAGCTACACCCTCGATTCATTGGCCCGTTCAAAGTTCTCGAGCGAGTGGGCAAAGTTGCGTATCGATTGGCCTTACCTCCCGAGTTGTCCACTGTTCATAATGTATTTCACGTATCCATGTTACGTAAGTACGTGTGCGACCCCGATCATGTCATTCCTAATACCGATATTCAGAATTAGCCAAATCTATCTTACGAGGAGCGACCGGTAGCTATACTGGACCGACAGGTT